ACTACTACTACTTACATTATTATATATTGAGAGTGAAGAAGGAAAAGGGAAGGACGAGAGAAGAAAAGTACCTTTGAGAGAAAAACAGTATTCACGTCACGACTAGTTTTGAATGCTTCAAGAATTTTTGTTCTCTCAAGATGACTACAAATTTGAAAAATAAAATGAAAATCTAGCTATGGATGTCAAACAACACATGTAAAGTGGAGTTTTGTAAGGCAAAACAATTTTGTCTAACAACCTTGTTGCACCATAGATCATAGGTTTACGAAGCTTCATTGCATACTCCGTAAGAGCAAAAAGATTGTCAGCAAAGACAATTATCTTATCACCACGCTGCTGTTCATGAAACCGTATGAGAAACTCACACGCCCTGAACTTGTTGGGGTTCATTACATAAAGAGCCTGAAATGTGAAAGCCAGTATATAAGAGAGGGAAACAACCGCAAACACAGAGGAGACAGAAAGCACGTGAACTATAAATGGCAAACAGATAGATGATATTCCAAAATACCTCAAATCTTAAACCAGAACATACCATACCGGTTATATCCATATTATCTAGTCAACTATAACATGGTTCTCAGCATGTTGTCAATTACTATAGGAGGGGCACGAGGTATATAAATAAAAGAAAACATTAATTTTATTGATATTCAAAAACCTGCTTTTTCTTTGAGTTTTCTTTCTTCAGATATTCAGCAAAAAACTCCTTTGTCATAGGACACCAAACTTCAGCACACTGCACATTTGCAATAAATCCTCCTTTCACAAGATCCAACCAGTTCGCTTCATACAACTTGGGACCAATAAGGAAATTTAAATCTGTAATTCTTTCATCTTCTCTGACAAGTGTGGCTGCAACAAATTAGCCAATGTTAATTTTCATTGCCAACAGAAACGGCAAAGCAAGAAGGTTAGAAGACCATAACATCATGTACCAGTGAGCCCAAGCTTGCAGTGAGACTTAGTCAGGCTGATGACCTTACGAAACATGTGAGCAGGAACCACATGCACCTATAGACAGAATAGATGAAAGCTTGCCCAAAAAATGTCTGATTAAAAGAACAATAATAGGTGAACACAAAATGGTAAAATTACCTCGTCCATAAGAAGTAGCCCCCATTCTCTATTTCTTATCTCTTCAATAATCTTTTCAGATTCTTCAGATCTTTTACCACCAAAAGCAACCATGTTATAGGTTGTAACAACCACCCCAGCATTACCTCGAAATCTTTCTTTACTATCTGATGTGAAACGACAAATTTGATCATCCCGAATGGTAGACCACAACTTAAACTGAAAAGCCCACTGATCCACTGATACAGCATTTGTAGCTAAACACAGACAACTTTTCCGGATACGACTGGCTGCAGAAACACCAACTAGAGACTTTCCGGCTCCACAAGGAAGTACAATAATGCCAGATCTTGCTCTACCTGCAAACATATATTCATAATCAGAGCTTGAAACTATATAACTGGCCATTCATAGTTAAGGTATCTTGGAAAACACAAAAAAGAGGGGGCAAAAATCCCAAGTTACCTAAACTGGTCATGGGGCCAGAAAAATTACAGGATAGGACATTAAAATTTAGAAAAAAAATTACCCACAAGAAAGTAAAAAATGAAAGAGTGTTCTTTTTTTTATTTTTTTAACAAAGAAAACAAATTTCTATTTAGCGATAACCATTTAAATTTGAGCCAAAATCATAACTTCCAAGCTTTCATCATACGTTGAAACCAAAAGACAACAGAATATGCAAAAAAAAAAAAAAAAAAAAAAAAAAAA